AGGGCCTTTCTCGATTGCCTGAGTGTTTTGTCTCGATTTGTGGTGATGATGGGGTTGCTGCCCGATGGGGAGAGTGTTGTTGGTTTTCAATTTATTTTGTTGTGTTTTGTTTTTAATTTTAGTTTTGGGTGTTGTTGTTTGGGTTGTTTTGTGATTTTCTGTGTTGTAGGTTGGGTCTCGGATCTCTTGTTTTGGGAGTTTATTTCTCCTCTTGTGAGAGTGACTTTCACCACTTGTGGGAGTGTAGCTTTTGTTTCTTTTCGTGAGTGTGTTTTTGGTATTCAGGCTCCCTTTGGGATGTCCTCTCAGATGTTTCGGCTGTTGGCCGCTGGTTTCGGCTGTTAATAGTCAGTGTTGTAATTATGTGTTTTTCTATTAAATTCTATCGTTTGGAAAAAAAAAGCCTTGTTGATGTAGAGCGTAGTAAAATTAGGGAAGAAGATGAGATACTCTCTCAAAGGAACACACAGAATTTATTTCAATCGTCAAAAACTGATCTTTCGCATCGTCCCAATATCATATAAATAACAAAGAGAAATAAATATTCCTAATCTTGCCCCACAACTGCAAGATAATTATTTTCCTACCCAAAGTACTATTAACTAAAGGAAATAAAATAAAAGAGTTCAAAAAATAATGATAAAATGAAACCGACTAAACCCGGAGACGGTCATATTTATTCAAATACGCAATAGTTGTCTCGTCTTCATCATCCTCCCCCAGTTGAGCAGGATTCGGCCTCGAATCCGAACCGGTCTCGTAGCTCCTGGTCATCACTTACATCAGTCCCCACCAACAACAACACCACCGGAGAATCCCTCATAGCTGCCACAAAAGCCGACTGAGAAAGAAAAAGGACCGAAGATGCCGGACGGGCCTGCTGCACCGCACGAGGTGGAGAAGGAACCAAAATAATTTTGATCCCCCCACAAAGAAAGGAATACGTGTTCTGGCGCCCGTCGTGAGTGGCAGCTCGATCATATTGCCAGGGACAGCCCAACAGTAAGTGACAAGCATCCATCGGGACCAAATCACACCACACCTGATCTCGGTATGTCGACCCAATGGAAAAAGAAACGAGAGCCCGACGATCAACAGTGACCGCCTGTTCTCGCTGAATCCATGCCAAAGTATACCGCTGAGGGTGAGGCTCACAAGAAAGTTGTAACTTATCAACAGCTTCTTGCGAGATAACATTTTCACAAGCACCAGAATCAATAATAAAACGACAAATCTTATTACCCATCGTGCATGTCGACTCAAAGAGGTGGTTCCGCTGGCCGGTCACTTCACTCAAAGCTTTTGGTGTCAAACACGTGCGCGGAGGACTAAGGCTGTCCCGACATCTCCGCTAACAAATTGTTCAATCTCGCCCCCCTCGGTATCGTAAACCGGCTGGCCGTCATAACCCTCCACCGCGTCTAAGTCCCCGCTATCCTCCGTGAAAAGAGCACGCGAACTAGTACCCTTCGGACACGCCGACTGACGGTGTCCCATCTCGCCACAACCAAAACAGCGAAGGCCCGCCACCGTACGAGCTGCCGCCGCTGAGAATTGCTGACCGCCACCACCTCCGATCCGCTGGAATTGTTCGCCAGGCCCCGAACCACGCGTCGGAGCAGCCCCCTGGCCCAAGTCGGGACTCGCCGATACAGCAGGCCGCAGCTGGAATGGCGTGCCTCCCGAGGTTCCACCTTGCCGCGATAACGACCCAAAATTGGTACCCGATTTTTGAGCCAACTTAATCTCCGCGAGAACGGCCCGTTGG